CAAAGAAGATTTTGAAGTGGGAATGAGAGGGAAGGGAAAGGATTTGTTTTTTTTTCCCTTTCCTTCCCTATATTGAAAACTAAGATATTTAAGTAAGAAACTGAAAAAAATCCACTTTGATATTAACAGGCATTTAAGCTGAAAATAAAATGTCAAAAGGATAATAAAGACTTGGATTTTCAAAAACTTTTAAAAGGAGGAGAGAAAAGGAAAAAACAAAAGGGTGGGATCTGGAAAAATGGAGGAGACCACCTGGAAGTAAAAGGAATTAACAGTGAAACTTTAACAAGATTCCTAAAAGATACATTCTAACTGAAACTTTGTAACAAGATAATAGAACCCCAGGAAGAGAAAGTGGAAACAAAGAAGCAAGAAGAAACAGCTTTGGATTATTTGGATTACTTGGTGATTTTTGGATTTTTAGTTATTGGATCTAGAAGACTAAAATCAACTGGGTGGTTGTTTAAAAGTTTTTAAAATGGCATCACTCTTGGAAGAACTGAAAATGGAACTTCAAAAACAGAAAGAAGATGCACAAGGAAGAGGTTGTTTTGGCTTCGTATTTCAATTTTTAGAAATGGAGATCCTGAACTATGAGAAACAACAAGAAATGCCTGTAGAACAAGAAGGGCGGGACAAAGAAGAAGCCATCTTCAATGACCAAGTAATTCTATGTGGGGAAAAAAAGGAAAGGGGAGAGAGTGAAAAATTTAAGATCTGAACCCCCCCCTCAAAAAAAAAGAATAGTTTGAAAAGTAATTACAATATTAGGAAGAAACAGAAGAGAGGATTAGAGTTAGAGAGACAAGGGGTCAAAAAGGGGAGGGAGAAGAAGAGGGGGAAGAGGGAAAGGAAAAGAAGTTATAAAGGACAGAAACAGGATATAGAGAAACGGAAAACATACAAGGCTTAAAGGTATAAGCCTATTTAGAAGACAGAGATAATGGGTGAAAAATTAATTGAAAGAGGGATTCTGCAAAGGTACATAGTACTTGTTATATTAGAAATAGAAATGAACTTAGAAAATATGAAACAAGTGTGATTAAAATGATAGTAAAATACTCATTGTAATGGAATGTTTGTTAATAAATAAATGAAAGAGAATGAGAGAATGAAATTAGGAAAGGATGGGATCATTTTAATTATTAATGAGTTATACGAAAGAAATATGAAAAAATTATGGAAATATGTGTTTCTAAGGAAGTATGATATCCTATTAAAAAGAAATGTTAAAGATGTTAAAGATTATAACAAACATTAATGAAAGAGCTGAATTGGAATAGAATAAGTATTTTATTTATTATTGTTATATATATACTTTCTCTTTAAGAACTTAGTGTGCATTTTAAGAATGTACCAAGCAGAATTCGACTGGAAATTATGTTATATTGAATGTTATAATTGTAAAGGCGTAAATAGAAGTTTAAATCAGAGTTGAATGGACAAAAATTAAAAGATACAAAGGTGTCATACTCCAATCAGTAACTACAGGGGAAAATTTTGTTTAATGAGAAAAGAAAATAAGAAATTGAAACAGGACAGACAAAAGTATAAATATAATGATTAGAAAGACATTGAAACTTAGAAAAAGATATATATAATTGAATTTAGAAAGGAATGAGATAATTAAAAACAAGGTTGAGAAAACTAAGGGAAGGGAAAAATTGTTGAGAAAATGTTAAAATAGTAATAAGATATGGAATAGAACACAAAGATGAATATGAAATTGAGTTTGTGTCTGTATGGAGAAGTGATAACCCGGGACCATGCTATTCTCAAAAAAAGATATTTTATTTGTATTGTTTTGTGAAAAACCAAATAAAATTTTTACAAAAATATTTTTTTTTGCAATTGGACAATTGCAGTAGTTGGGAACTCTCCACGCTCAATGTGATTGGTTTTATACTTTTTCTTTCATTTGACCCTCCTAATTCATTGTTGCTTTTAATTTTTGTGGGGTGAGACATTGGCCCATCTTTTTCATGTAGAAGTGCTATCCTTGGCTTTGGTTTAGAGTAATCTTTTACAGTAATGTATTAATTTATATCTGTTTAATAAGCATACATACAATGGTACCTAGATAGGTACTTATCATTAATTGGTTCTGGGAGGCATGGTAAGTACCAAGCAATTTCTTTTCTATAAGGAATAATATAGGGAGTCATAGGGTAGTCAACACTGACAAGTACTACCTTATACATTGAATACCAAACAAATGATAAGTACAGGGACAAAATTTTCATGTCAAAATGTATTGAGTGGCAAATTTGATGAGTTTCAAAGCAGTTGAGTACCAAAATACCACTGTAGAAGCCTTCTATGTAGTAGACCCATGCAATAATATAAATATGCTGCTATCCTGAAATGCATAAATTGATGACAATAAATGCCCTGAGAATTCACTTGCTATTCAGGTCACTGGTTACATATAATGGCACTTCACTCAAGCAGAGGACCAGTATTTATTTACTCTCCATTCCATAGCTGCTGCAGCTTTCTTCTGTAAAGATAATCTAGAGCCTTGACAACCTGTTGTGTTTGGGTGGGAGAAGAAGACAGGAATGGAAAAGTTAAGTGATGCTGCATTTCAAAAGTGGGAGGGTATACATACTCATCATGCATTTCCACTTAACAGAGGAAAAGTGACTATAAAGGCAGTTATGAAGATGCTTTATACTCTCTATGAAGACAGGGAAAAATTGAAGTTTTGATGTGTGCAACGTTTTCATAAAATAGTATCCATGATCCCATAACCCACATTAGGTTTTCTAAAACTTCTGGAATATGCTAAGTTTTAAGACTTCAAAACATGGCAATAAAAATATACTATTTTATAGAAGTGCTGCATTATTTCATACATCTTCTAAGTCACTGCAGACATTAAAACAGATGGCCTTTTTTAGTCTAAGTATGTTATGACAAATAATTTGTCAATTTATTTGAATACTGGTTTATTACTAGTTTTTTACAATTTGATGTCCTCAAGATACAGTGGTGCAGTGCATATTTTTGATTCACTTGTTTAATTTGGTTCTCTTTATCTAGTTTTGGGAAATGGAAGACAGTTCATGTTTGTACAAGAATACTTAACAATTGCTACAAACCCTGTAACACCCTCAAGACAATTTGAAAAGGGCAAGAATAAAAGTTGCAACAGGTAACAATCAATATTCTCTATTTAACACTGTCTGTGCAGATATGCCTGAAACCCTGACAGGAAAATTTATGTCAGCAATCTTGAGTTACCCAAAGAAAAATGCATTCCATATTTTCCAGACAATGGTTTATATGGCTTACATTGTGATAAGCAGTATTAATCAGACAGGATGCTAGTCAGAATTTTTCTATTAGTGGACGGAACAAATTTCCTCAACTTCCAGAATTACCAGAGGATCAATTCAGTGGGATCAGGATAACAGCTATAGTTTTTTCCACCAGTGAATGTTGAGATTGTAGGAAAAACTGGAGAGAAAGTTGTCTGGAAAGTTGTTTATTTGTTTTATTATGGGGAAAGAAAGGGTAAGAATAATATTCCAATAAAGGAGAATATTTGTAGCTCAGGGTTGAAATGAGGGGTCCTTGGTGCTCTCTGAGTTTGTGTTTTCTTGCAGATGTTTTATTACCCAAACTAGATGATATCATCAGTGCTAGTAAGGAGTGCCGTTTGCTTTATATTTATATAGTTCACTTTATATTTTATTTTTTTCTAAGAATAATTTTCTTCTGGCTACCACCTATACAATTTCCTCCACTGCTGTAAGAACATATGGAAGTTTGAGTGGATATTCTATAAAATTGGATGTTTGCTCAGTATTACTTAGACACTTTTTAATCCACACTCACTTTACAATGTTCTCTATTAGGGCTAAAAGCAGTGTTATGATGAGCAGGTAAAATTCCATTTCTTTTTTATTTAATCCATAGAATACACCATTTGTAGAATTTAAAAACTGGATAAAAGAGCATATTAAATGGCAGGTGTATGAAGTTTTTCCATAAACAATGTCCGAACAAAAAATCCAAATTACAAAATATTAAAAATATGTTGGTACATTAACATAGCATTCCACTAAAGCATAAAGATACAGGTATAAAGAAAAATTGTGCCACTTACCTATTTTTTTTTGCTGTTTCTAGGAATGTTTTATTCTGTACATAGGACCATTCTGTACAAAATATGAAGTCTACATTTTTATTACTCATTACAATAAAACAAAGTACAATGTATGTACAATATTAAAATGAAGCCATACTAAAGCCACACAAAAGAAGACACTTGTAATATTCTTTTGACATTCCTGATGTACAGGCATAAGGTTCTGGAGAACATGGGAAGATAGGTAACACTGAACTTTACGAAGAGTAACAATCACCAAAACTGTTTTTTATTTGTACACTTTATTTGGGATGTATTTGTTTTAACAATAATTTAATACATAACTTGTATAGAGCATAACATGGTGATAAGAAGGAAGCCAAACAAATGAATACTACTAAATCTTAGTATTGCTTAGGCAAGTTTGTGAACTAGCCTGAAATTTCTAGAACGAATTGTGATGGCAATAATGCTACCTACTCCAGAATAGTTAATTTTTGGTGAATGTTTATCTTCAGTAAAGAGCAAAAGTAAAATTTAGACAGTGAAAGGTCTTATATGCTGCGCGTTACACAGTCAACCAAACATTGATATACAATATTTTTTCAATCCCCCATTCCCCAGGTTAAAATTAGATTGCCTCTTCTCAAAACCCTCTTTCATGAACCTACTGAACAGCCAAATTATGAAGAAGATATTTGATAAATTATCAGCTAAAGATGGGAAGTTCAAACAATGGCATATCAAAATACATACAGACATTGCTTTATGCAATTATAAAAGCACCCTTCCCCTCATCAAAATGGAGAAGACATATTTAAACTGCTTTTAATTATTTTTATTTCATTATGGCAAAGCATATTTATTTTCAAGTTTAACAGGTATTATTTTCACAAAAAATAGGTATTTTGTTTGAAGCTTGGAGTGGTCTTTATATTCAGTTTTTTCTTATCACTAATTCCCATCATTCTCACCTGATATGATCTATTCTTAATTTTCACAATATACCTTGGACATTTCATATTTGAGACCAACCAGGGCCCTGATCTCAAAATGCCTGCTTTGCAAAGTATTTATTATGGATCAAGATATATCAGTTAAAAGAACTATTTTAAAGAAATTGCAAATTTTGTTAGTGGTAGAGATAAGAAAAAAAAAGTAACTAATTCTAAATCAAATTGATTTGAAACTGCTCTTGAAGTCTAAAATACTGGCTACCCTGAGAGCAATCAAATATTAAAGACAAAGCACAATACATTTTTTTGAAAATTTGTGCTTTCCCACCTAGAAGAGATAAAAGAAAACTCATAACGTGCAAGCTATGTTATGGAATACATAGCAGCATTTGAAGATCAACAGTAATATAGATGGGTTTTCTTTTTCTCTGGAGGTGTGTACACTTATTTCATCAAAATATATACTGACAGTAGAATTACTATAGCTAATCTCTCAGCTTTTAAAATAGGTATCTGAAAAAGTTGGAATGTTATTAGAAGGAATTTGTCCATGCTAAATTTTTTAAGATGCATCTCTCTCTCTAAACAATAACAGCCAGGAAAAGGTATCCAAATTAATCTATGTCCTGATGTCTGTAACAATTCTTAGCAGGTAACATACTCCATACACTAAAAACTTTAAAAAAAGAGAGAGAAAAACGGGAAAGCCATTTTGATAATTAATTCTGAAATCAAGAGATATATGCAATTTCTTTAAAAATGTTATTTACTTTTAGCCAAGGCAGACATATTTTTATTATTAGGAGCACAACTTCTTTACCAGTTCAGTTCCAAAATATTAATTTTGTACTTCATGCTAACGGACCAGAAAATATGGCTTCAATCCATACAAAGTACTCAACCAACAGTGTCTTCTATCTGGAACCAAATTTGGATTTAACCATTTTTCTAGAAATTAGACGTGATTAAGATTGTCATGAAAAATTACCATTCTGTAATAAAGAATTAATAACTTTCCAAACTGCCAGAATATATCAAGGCAGTGATGCATTTTTTTTTCTCTTCAGGTATTTTTCTCCCCAGATTTATAAAATGCTCAATAGTTATATGAATTGAGAACTTTGACCATTGCCATGGTACTAATGGCAGGCAGAGGTGGACAGAGGAAAGAGAGAAAGAAAATAGGCTCCGTTCATCTGGCACTGGTCTGGCAACCTTCATTATTTCAGTGGACTTACATAAGAAAAGCCATGCAAAGTCACTTCATCTTATCCTCGTTATAAGCTGATCGAAATAGGAAAAAACATGGAACTCCTGTGTAGATTGTCACACATGCATTTCATTGTATGCACATGGATATTATGGACAAAAACCTGAAACTGCAACCAATTTAAATTTACTAGCACATGTACGGATATGAAACATGATAGACATTATTGTTTCATGCCTTTTTCTATATAGAGCTTTTAATATACAAACAAATATGTTTGAAGAGGCCTGAAATATCTGAATGGTTGCTCAGCAGCAGTGCTTGATAATTTGTTCTCCTTTCAACAATAACTGGAGAAAATGCATGCTTCCCACTGGTTGGTACTATGCCAACAGCACCAAGAAAATGTCTTTGTTTAATACTAATCAACTCAAGTTTCTGATTACAGAATTAGGTAATTCACCATTGTTTGAACTACTTATCTTGAGCTGCTTACACTGTATTGAAATTATTGCCTAACAGAATGGGGTTGAACAAAAGCTTTGACTTGTGTGTAACTGATCAGTATGGCACAAAAAAAGGTAAGTTCTCTACTGCAGAACAGAGTCCAGAAAAAAATGTTTTTCTCCAAATAAGATATCACTTGACTAGTCTAATGCCCATCATGTGATAGTAGATCCTCAGCTCGGCAATGAGACTCCAAGGCTTTCATGGTATAGATATCCTGAGGCAATTCAGACTTGCGCCGTACCATAGGACGTTCCCTTTTTTGCTCAGTCTGTCCCTGAAATCAAAGAAGCAATGTTTAAAGAAAACAGAGAGATTTCTTACACCAAAAAGTGTCTGGTTTTTATTTTTTTATTAATAAAATGTATGGGCCACCCATCATACCATTGGATAATTCTGGGCACCTTACAGTTACATCTGAGTTAAAACATAAAAAGTTAAACATTAAAACTTGTTTTGATTTAAGCAAGAATGAAAAAGCAGTAGAAGAAAGCAGATTTCTGTAGAAGAAAAACAGCTAGTCCGTAATTTTTTGGATTTTGTCATACCTTCCATGGCATTCCCCTGAAATTGTTTCTGTTTGTTTCTGATTCTTCAGGAAGCCATTTGGTACAAAGTTTATTTGCTCTATCTATACCATAAGTAAGTAAGCTTACTGTTGTAACCACAGGTCATAACATCCAGTGTGTCATAAAATACAATAAAATAACAAAATACTAAGACTGTTTAATAAGAGTATTAGATGTAAAATAGTCACAGCAAAACAAAGCCACAACCACAACTAGGAATTTAAGTGTTTCTAAGTTTTGACAACCAACTTGGATGCTAACAGTTGAAAACATCTCTGCAAGAAGATAGTTGAATTTCCCAAGGTTGGGTCTCTTGAATTAACCTATCAGTAATTTGGCTTTAATTTCATTTTAAATGGGGCACTGGGGGACCAAAACCACAAGGATAGAGGTGATGTCCTACAGGTAGTTTATTAAATCTCCTGTCAAGATATATGGAAGGCATGATCTGCAAGCAAATGGATCTTGAAGACTTTTTCAATGAAGCAATGGTTAAATTAACCAGGAATCTATATAATATGAACGTAAGTCCTCAGGATACAATTACACTATTTATGCACGCTGATGGGTACGCATTGATGTACTGCATATATATGTATATACATCTGCATAGTTTTCTATTAGGTGAACAGACAGCTGCAAATGAGAATTCATATGGAAAGAGAAGATATGTACCTAGAATTTATTCCTATTATTTCTTTCTTATGGAATAGATTATGGAAACAGTAACTACAGTGGAAATATAATATATAATTCTAGTCTGTTTATGAGATATAATTATAGGCTATCATGTAGTTGCTGGCCCCAAATGTGGTTGCTAAGCTAGGACTACTTGTATGTACCTGGTATAATAACCTTTGAGAGGCAGTGGATGGACCTCAATGACTGGTACATCTAGCAGGGATACAGTGAGATATATTATGGCCAGAATTGTATAGTATTTAGTCACCAAATCGGATAAGTTTTATTTTTTTGAACTATCAATAAGCAAAGTGAAAAACAGGCAACACATCATATACCTCTACTGACAAAGTACAAAAGCTAATAACATCCCCTTACCTCCTGAGAAAATCAAACCACATACTCGTGTTCAAACATCACATTTACAATCAGTCATCAAGTGAAAAACAAACCAGAGTTTTGAAGTGCTTTAAAATAATGATTTGTTCAATAGCCCCATATACACATTATGACAGTAATGTTTCAGTAGTTATGGTTGTATTTTAAACTTTTTTTTTTTTTTGCCTTTAAGAATTTTAAGAGGCATGAATATTACTAGGGTCCCAGGCCTGGAATTCTTGACTGTTTTTTTGTTTGACAAGCCTTTAAAAATTGGCATGCTATACCCATTAGAAGCATTTATTTCAGTACTTATTTGTGTGAAAGAGTGAAAAGTTCAGCTATTATGATGTTGTTTTCCATCTTTTCTTCTTTATGATTTTGGGTAATACTAATTAGAAGCAGTATGTTAGTTTATAAGCTATAACAGAAATATACAATTATTCAATTGAAACACAAAAATGGGACCAAATTTAGCATTTATTAAAACCATTCTGCTAACAAGCAAATGAAGTGACAATTTAAAAATTACTAAAATTATTCTGCGTGTTTCAATTTCTTGCAATTTTAGAGATAAATTGTACAATTCACAAATAAATAGTTCTGAATCAAATTTGAAAGAAGTAAGCTATTTCTCTCTTTTCCTCTCTCTACAGGTAGTCCTCAGTTAACTAACAACCTCTAATTTAGTCACCATTCAGTTACAATGATGTTGAAAGAACGGTAATTATGACTGATCCTAAAAGTTTCAGCCACCTGAGCATCCTTGCAGTCACCTGATCATGATCTGGGCACATGGCAACCAGTTTGCACTTAAAACAATTGCAGCATCCCATTGTTACCTGATCACCATTTGCGACTTTCCCTGCAGTCCTCCCCACATGCAAAACCAGTAGTAAAACTGGCAGGAAAGGTCGCAAGTTGCATGGGTAAATCTCCCCCATCCATGCATCCTTCCTGAGCCTTACCGCACTTCCACTACACTTCCCTGGTCACTTGAGAACCCTCCCCAATTACTCATGCACCCTCATGCACTGGTAAGCCTCCCCTATCCGACAGAAGCATCCCGAGTGTTGCTGAGCTCATGCTGCACCTCCCTGCCATTCACACATCCAGTAGCAGCCACCGCAAGCCCTGCATGCATGCCTCACCTTCCCCCACCGCCTGCACACATCCACCCCATGCCCACTGCTCCTTTCATTTTGCATCTTGCATACCCTCTCCCGCCGGGCAACAGCCACTCAAACCCTGCTGTGCTCGTGCCATACCTCTCCCGCCACTTGCTCACCCTTTCCTACCCGGCAGCAGCCACTTATTTGCTAGTCTTCTTGCAAACTACCTTGGACTTGCAACTTCCTGCTGGTTTTTCCGCTGACTTTGGTTCTTGGAAACCAGTAGGAAGTTGCAGGGAGGTATTCACTGAATGACCCATAACCTTCCTTTAATGATAGCAATAATACAGAGATTGCCATAGCTAAGTGAAGTGGTCAGGTGATGTCATACTTTACAAGTGCATTGCTTAGCTACAGAAATTCCAGCTCCAAATGCTATCTTAACTGGAGGACTACCTGTATATGCTTACCGGACAAGCTTCTTCCTTCACTCCCTTTGTCAGCACCTGCAAGTCTTCAATTAAAGGCCCATCTGTTTCCATTGGACTGCTCACTAGAGAGGTGTCACTATATACTGAGTACTAACCAAATACAAAAAGTTATGTCAGATTTTTTTTTATAGCAAATCTCAGATTCTTCAAATTGTTAGAAGCTATAACAGTTCAGGCACTTTATTGCCAGAAATGTTAACATCAGTCCACATTTGAATGAGCAAAACATTTTGCCTTCAAATCAGAAATAAAATCTAACTCTGTTTTCTAAAAAGCAAGAGATCTGACAAAGGTTCAGGGAGATTAAAAGGAAGAAATTCAAAGAGCATTTAATTTATGAAATTTTATTATTAGAGATATTGTCATGGGGCCATTAACTTTGATGGCTTTAAAAGGTTATTTAATAATGGAAAATTATCTTGTTGGCTTTTACTAATTAAGGCAATAAAGAAATAATGGAAAATAAATAAGAATTGCTATGGATCAAATGATATTCTGAGTTCCAGATGCTGCAGAGTAAGACTGGTAAAATCTGTTGTTTTTATGGATTTTTTGGGGTGGTGGTGGTGGATTCTAGTCATTAAAGGATATAAATATAAAGCTACATTTCTACAAAAAACACCAGTAAATAAATATTACTTTGGTAACCTTTGTTCTTCCAGTGAGTTTAAATTAAAATATTCATCCTTGGAATGCCTTACCTGAGGATTTGATTTGGCTAGATTTTCTATTTTGACCCAAGCTTCTTCCCGTTCCTTCATTTTTAGCTTTTCTCTAGGGTAAAAAAAAGGAACAGTCACACATATTAGGCAATGCTTAATGAACATAAAGGAATTAACACTAAAATGATGGGAAATACAGGGACTTTTCACATTTTTTCTGCTTAAAATGTTATATATATTACAAATGGAACAAACTCCTTTACAGTGAGGAGACAATAGATATTAGAATTACAGATAAACAATAATCCCAGAGAAAAATGAACAGGAAGCAGAGATTAAAACATACACATGGGGGCGGAAGGGAGAGACCATTCTTATAATCAGCTACATTGCTCTGATTTTTTGCTTTCTCTTCACGTTCTACATTGTTGCAGCTTAAATACGAAGCATATGTAGGGAGGCAAAATGAATAAAATATAATAATTCACAGTAAACTGAATTTTTAAATGACATTCTTTGACAATTTTGAAATTCCTCTTTACCTTTGAACAAAAACTGATAATTATAATAGCAGAATGAAGCCATTGGCTATTATCTTTTAAGCAACTAAATGTTTACAACTCCACGATTCTTTCTGAATATGCTCAAAACTTTCTTTGATGATTCTAAAGAATGTACTACTCTATTCTTTATTCATATAGCATAACAAATTATTTGAATTTTATTTGCCAAGATGTTTGAACATCTGGAGATTTGAAAGCCAAGAAGAATAATACTTTTTGCAAACTGATTGCTTGTTTTACTACTATTTTCAATATTCAAAAGCAAATGAGATTGTTTGACAAACTGGAATCCTGGCAATCCTGGTGACAGATGAGATGTTTTCTCACAATGTAGCATTTTGGATTTTGGAATTTAATGAGAAAAAATCTCACACTTTTTATCTATGTGTATCATTTTTTATCATTTATTTGACATTTAGGGACCACCTTTCAGAGGGACTCTGGTGTAAAAATAAAATGTTAAAAACATAATGACTAAATGTAAGATTTAAAATAGGCAAGGACAGTTAAAGTTGACATTAAAAGTTAATTAAAATTATTTTCTTAAGAATTTTGTCTCAAGAGCCATTCCATTTTGAATCAAAACTGGTTTCACTTACCGTTGAGTAAATAGTGAGTACATTGTGGCAAGAAAGGCCATAAAATAGGGCAAAACTCACTTAACAACTATCTCGCTTAGCAACAGAAATCTGGGGTTCAATTGTGTTCATACCTGTAATATCTACAGAAGTGCAATAATTTTTTTTTTAACAAACACAGCAGGATGTTTTCACAGATCTTAAGAAAGAGAAATAAAGATGAGAACATGTTAAGAAGAAACTCACTTAAGTTTTTCTGCTTTAAATTGCTGAGTGCAGTCATCAAACAATTTTTGGTTCATTTCCATGAAGAGTTTCAGAGCATTGTAAATCAAGCCATGTATTGTCCTATTTAAAAAAAAAATTCAAAATAGATTCAGGCTTTGCAGTGCATATATTCACAAAAAGCCCCCCAAACAAATGGATGTTTCCTTTAGCTAAAAGTAGCGCACAGAAACTAAAGGTTCAATGAGGAATATAATACTTACAAATTCTGTGAAATACACATCAATGTGTTCTGCATCTGTGCAGTTGAACATATCCCAGAGTTAGAACGTTTGGCAGGAAACTGCCATCTTGCCCACTACATATGCACTGGGACTGGTTTCTGCTGATTCTGTTAGTTGCTGTGGAGATATCCTCAAAACCAGTGATGCACAGCACC